TGCATCCCAGGTGCTAGTTACACACTTACACACAGGTTCCCAGGCCTCCTTTGACTTCTCAACATGAGGTCTGACTAATTGTTCAGGCTGGCATTGTGATTCTCCTGCCTCAGCTTCAAGAGCAGATGGAATTACAGACTTGTGCCACCATACAGCTCTGCATGTCCTGGAGCGTGGTTCCTGGCGGGCGTGAGTACGCAGTTTGTTTCTCCAGATGCATACACTCCTAATAATGGAGTTTTGAGATCCTCGGATGCATGGGCGATTTTACTAGATGACGACATACGCCTCTGGTGATGCTGTGATTTATAATTGCACCAATAAATATCTTTGTTATCCCAGCAATGCTTGACACTGTTAGCTTTAACTATGCTAACGATAGACAGGAGGCTCCCACCGGTGGCACTGGGCATGGAGTTGGGTGGTAGAGCATGTGTCTGATACACAAGATCCTCTGGGTTGGCTCAGTCCTCCACACTTCACAAAGTGCCCATTTTCCAGGATACTATGAAGTTTGGTGGTTTTTCATTTTAGGCTTCCACTGTTGTGAAGTGACTATCTTAGGATTTTGTCCATTTCCTTTTGGATTGGTCTGTGTGAGCACAGACATGTGTACTTACATGTTTATAGCCTGCGTACTCATCCTTTGTGTTACAATACCTTCCCCACATTTTATTTCATTTTGAGACAAGGTTTTCCTATGTAGCCCAAGCTGGCTTCAAACCCATCACCCTCCCGCACTTTTTTTTTTTTGTCTTTTACTCAATAGTTCAGTGCACCTCACAATGTAGTTATCTTGCACTGTGTACTGTCTCATGGCATCTTTATACCAATATTCTTTCAGTCAGACCATGAGATCATTTTGCTGGTTGAATTCAGTCCTCAATCCACCTGGAATTGATCGGTATAACTGAGTAACAAGATGAGGTCGTGGTCCAAACTGTTTGGGGACTTCTTTTGTGATGGTCTCAGAAAATAAGTAGTCCCTCTGCACGTTTCCAAGTCTTGACTCTTCAGTGTGTCAATCATCTCTGGGCCAACACCATGCTCTTGGCTGTTGTTTGAGTCAGGTTCTCACTGTGTAGCCCTGGAACTCACTATGGTAGATCAGGCTGGCCTCTGAGAGCTGGGGTGCTGGGGTCAAAAGTCGTGCAAGAACCCAGGTGGCGGTGGCGCACGCCTTTAATCCCAGCACTGGGAGGCAGAGGCAGGCGGATCTCTGTGAGTTCGAGGCCAGTCTGGTCTACAGAACGAGATCCAGGACAGGCACCAAAACTACATGAAGAAACCCTGTCTCCGGGGGGTGGGGTGGGGGAAGTCATGTAAGATGTGCACCAGCTTTGTTTTTTAAACTTCTAATTTTTTAATTTAGATACAACTTATTGAATCTGGGGGTGTCATTATGGTGCTTTTGTACCCATGTTCTGTGCTTTGTTCTCATTTAGTCCTTTCCCCCACTGCCCTCCTTCAGGAGGGTTTCATGTGACTTGCTATTTGGCAAACCTGGTCCCCTCTGCCATGATTTCTCAGGAGCGTTTTGGCTCTTCCAAGTGTTCTGAGCGCTGTTTGTAACTAGGCAAGCAGCTGAGAGCCTGGCTGTGTAGCTGTGAGTAGGATTCAGCGTGGACGTGTTCCCCTAATTTGACTCGGAAGCTCAGGAACCCGAGGTCAGAATTCTCTGCTCCATGTTTTCTTTCCGTGGCATCTGCCACATTGATTGGGACATGGCTTTCAACTTGTTTGGTTCACTGTGCCGTCCGTAATCACAAATCTAATTAACATTGAACTTGGACAGGTTCCCGGCGCAGTAATATGAATAATGCCTGACCGGTGAAGCCACAGGAGACTATAATTAGATCTCATGAAATAACGGTCTCAAATTATTTTTAAGTGCTTGTAATTTTTAGTAATACTTAGGCCCAGGCACAAACAACAAAAGGCAAACTCAATGGGAGGGAATCTGCTATGAGAACAACGGGCACTTGACGTGCGCGAGCCCAGCCTGGGAAACTGCATTGTTTAATGAAGCAGAGCAGCGGCCTCTTCTTCACAGTGGGAAATAAGGCCACTAGATAAGCTCCTGGCGTCTGTTTCCTGTTCTGGGTGGCTCTGCAATCCACTGAGAATTTCACTGCCCTCACCCCACTGTCCCATTTCCTGTTGGTTTTCTCTCCCTCCTCCCCCGCTTCTTGGGCTGCCAAACCAAATCAGTTCAAACAGATAAAGACTCAGTTAATTCACTGAGCAGCTTGGAGCTCCCGGGAAGGAACAGCTTCCTGAATCGCTGTGTAAAGGGCACTGGCTGTTCTTCTGCAGAATAAAAACGGGGTCCGTTTCTCTTACACCAGCTTTTTAGGTCTCTACCCACAAAGCAGGCCAGCTCTCCTTGTCTTGGTGCTGCGGCTACAGAGGAGCCGGCAGCGGCCAGTGTGGGTGGTGGTTGCGCAGGTCACGCGCTCTGGACAGGCAGTCCTGATATGTGAGGACGGGGAGCAAAGGGATGGATTCAGAAAGCTCTCTCCTGCTAAGGATGTTCCCATGTTTCAAGGGACTTGATAGAGCACTTGAGAAGTTGGGGAAAAAAAGCTTCACTATTGTGTTCACTATTGATAGTGTTGACTCTAAAACACTGAACCTTGTCTTTTAGCTAAGGGTCAGGAACCCAGGCTGGCCGCATCCTTCTTTATCACTGCTAATTTTTAAACTCTTTTTTTGTTTGTTTGTTTTTTTGTTTCTTTTTGTTTTTTTGAGGCAGGGTTTCCCTATGAAGCCCTGGCTGTCCTGGAACTTGCTCTGTAGCCCAGGCTGGCCTCAAACTCAGAGATCCATCTGCCTCTGCCTCCAAGTGCTGGGACAAAAGGTGTGCGTCACTACTGCCTGGCTTAAAACCTTTTAAGAAGACATAAATCACAACTAAACAACTCGGAAAGGGTCTGCCTTGTCTTTGTCTTTGGGAAGTGTGTGACATCAGAGAGTTAAGAATTTCGCAAGTCTTTCTTTTAAGACTTCTACAAGGAATAGTGCAGAGCTGACATTACCTCATCAGGAGTGTCTAACAGGCCCCTAGCACGTTGACTGAGAACAAGATTCAGATAGAGCTTGGCTAGTCCCTGTTCCTGTGCCCTAGTGAACTTGAATCACGGGGAACAGAAAATCACTTGTAGGTTTCGGGGGTCCTAGCCAGTGTTCTTGCAAGGCTCCTCTCTTGTGTGAGGCTGCCGCCCACAGGCTTCTCTGGGGCTCAAAATGGCTTGCTTTCCACATAACGAGCCAGGGATAGGAGCCTGGGCCGGGTTGTAGCTTTGCCTTGGTGTCCACTGACTACAGCCGGCAGGTCATGGAGCCAACATGCTTGGCTCCAAGGCAACTTAGAAGGATTTATGGAAGGAAAGCCACAAACTACAAAATTTCCAGATGCAGATACAGATTCAGACAGGCGAAGAGCAGGTGAGGGCTGGGGGACAATATGGCCCATGGGGTGAAGTGTCTAGAGCAGCAGTCCGTTCTCAACCTGTGGGTCAGGACCCATTTGGGAGTCGAATGATCCTTTCACAGGGGTCGCCTAAGACCATCAGAAAACAGATATTTACACTACGATTCATAACCGTCACAAAACTACAGTTATGAAGTAGCAACAAAAGTCATCTTATGGTTGGGGGTCAGCACGTGAGGAACTGTATTAAAGGGCCGCAGTGTTAGGGAGGTTGAGGGCCGCTGGTCTAGAGAATGAGGCTGCCCAGACTGCTTAAGGATGAAAGGGCACCTGGGAGATCCCCCACCTCAGAATACCTGGAGGAGCCTGGTGGGGACTTGGGCTTTTGTCCCACAGGTCACAGTCCTTAGAACGGAGAGCGGGCGGGGCCGTCGGTACAGGTGCTCTGTGTGTGAGCAGTGACGTGAGGAAGGACTCCAGTGCGGCCCCAACGTAAGTCCATCTGAAGGCTTTTAGTAAGTGACTACATACGGATTATCTTATTTTTAAAAATGGGAAAGGGCTCTTGTATTCTGAAATAGGCCTACCAAGGTGCAGGGGTGGGGGTGGGGGTAAGAGGTCAGGACGGGGGTATCGCAGCCTCACCAGCACAGTGAGGAGAAAGCTGTAAGGCTGCCTAAGGAGCAAGCAGCGGGAGGACAGGGCTCCGGGAAGGCACACAATTCAAAGTCTGGAGTCTAACTGAAGGACGACAACAAAGAATGTACCTCAGAGAACAGAAGCTCTCCATCTGGGTCACGGCCCAGCACCAGGGGCCGTTCTAACAACACAAGATGTACGTGGTGTTGAGAGATCAGAAGTACGAAGAGAAAATGTTAAATAAAAGGTTTTGCTTTTATTTAAAATAAAATGCATTTATACAGTCTTTAAATCATGGATTATTGGACAATACTGTTAAGTCCATCCCTCCCTGGCGCCCCCTGGGCTCGTGAGCTAGGAGTTTCCTAACTAGCACCAATACAGATTGTAACAGCGCGGCAGACCAGACATAGCCAGTCCAGGCGTTAGAGTTAAGGACATCATGGCAAGTCATGACCATCACGAAGGCATTCTTAATTTAGCAGATACCGAAACTGCATATTAATTATACACTTTAAAAGCATTTAATTAATGCAAGAATGCTACATTTAAGCCATTTCCTAGTTGTGAATAGTTTTTAAAAAAAACTGTACAATTTTATAAAATTTGTGTTTGTACATTAGTTACACAAAATGCATACTTCATAGAACTTTACTTCATATTGTAACACAAAGGTTGCATATTTTAGGCAGATAGTGAATATGCTGGTGAATACTAAGAGTGTTGTAATACAGTATGGTGTAAAAATAAACACACAACAATGTACAACATGCTTATCAAGGACAAACCCAACCAGGCACAAGAGATCAACAGCGCTTCCTTCAAGGTCAATGACGTCACTGAATACCAGGCATCTGCTGCAGACCTGATTTTACATTGGGAGAGGGAGCTAACTGAACCAGAAGTGGGTATTTCAAAGAGGGCATCAAATTAAACATACATTAAACACGTGCATTACACATGATAAATAGACTCACAGAGGTTATGCCCTGGGTAACTTGGTAGTAGATGGCTTCTTAGTTTGGCTAGTGTCAATCAGCGACAGTTGGTTCCTGATTCGCCCACTACTTCAGATTTCAATCCGTGGCCCGGAGGAACCTTCGGGGTCCCACAGAGCACATATTGCATCACGGTAGCAGAGTAATAACCGTGCTTGTTAGTGCACACATTAGCCGGTCTGATAAGGCAGAGAGTTTTCATGATAAAATGGTACATTTCAAGCGTACTTTATTAAGCAGCATGTAAGAAACAACAGCTTTAAAGTTAAATAGTGTTATGGCCGTGGAGTTCCATCACATCCTCCTTCTATTCACACCCAGCCGCTGGTGAGTTTGTAGAACATCTCCTCATCTAAACTCTCATTCTGGTCTTTCGCACGAGTGGAGAGAAATATGTAACCACCGATGAATTCATGGACCACCTTGCAGTCTACTTCAGTACAGATGAAGGACAGCCGGACCTCATCTGCAAACTCCACCGTGACCTGCAACAGAGGCAAGGAATCGTCAGCATCCCCGGGAGCTTCTGGAAGTTCACTTCCCAGGCTGCCACTCCCCGGACTGTTAGACAGGACAGCAATGGTGTCTGCGCCACAGCAGTAAGAAAGGCGTAGCATCCCCTCCCCCATTCCTTTAGTTCCCTTCTCGGGGGATTTAAGCCATCAAGTTCCCAAGTGGTCTCTGGTAATGCAATTAATGAGAACGCCTCTCTCTTCAGGTCCTGGGAGAAAATCTACTTCCTGTGTTTTCTTTAACATTTGCTCCAGTATTTAACCTTTAGGTATCATGTTGAAATATTTCAGAAAGATGGGTTTTTCTGATAGCAACTGATACACCATATCCAATGTGCCAAGCTAAACAGTAGGACTGTTTTATACGATGTCCATGTAACAGGGAAAAGGGCACCGCAGTGGCTACACAGTGGTGCACGCACCAGGTCTCAGAGACCAGAAACAACCGTCTGAATGCTGAGCCAGTCACTAAGTGGATAATAACCACACCTGAGGCAATCTGCCTGCTTTAGAAGGCTGTGACGAGGCTCGAGAGGAGTCTAAATGCAAACATCTGGTGTCATGCCTGGCCCAAAGAGGCACAGGACCCAAACTCTGACTGCTACTATGAGAAGAAAAATTAGCTATTACAGAGAGATTATGAAATAGGTAAGTTTAAGTGAAAAATGAGTAACAACCATGTGGTCTATACTCTAATCCCAAAGATTCTTTCTTTTACAATTCAGTCTCCCATAGCCCAGGCTGGCCTCTAACTTGCCATGTAGCTGGAGATGACCTTGCACCTTCTTCCAAGTGTCCAGATGACAGGTGTGCTCCCCACCCAGGGCTTCAGGAATGCCAGGCAAGCACTTTCCCTCTACCTGAGCTATCCCTAGGCTCTATTTTTTTTTTTTTTTTTTAAGTTTTATGTGTACAGGTGTTTTGTCTGCATATATATCTGTGAGGCCAGATGAGGGCATCAGATCCCCTGGAACTGGAATCATAGGTGGTTGTGAACCTCCATATGGGTGCTGGAAATTGAACCCAGGTCCTTTGGAAGAGAACAGAAAGTGCTCTTAGCTGCTGAGCCATCTCTCGACTCCTATTCATCTGTGAACAAATGGAGGCACCCTGTGCAGGGCCTCATTTGGACGAGGCTGGAGTCTTGGAAGCTTGGCTACCTACCCAATGGTGGCCTTTGAAAGCTTGTGTGAAGGCTCTAGCATGGGAGCATATATACTTGTATACCCTTGGCAGAAGGAAGGCCGTCTTCTCCCACCAAGAAGTATGAGAGGCGAAGGGCAACACTAGAACTTACTAGCCAGACAAGCCAAGTCGGCCCTAGTAGTTAATGGGGGTATCAAATACCAGAGCCAAATCACCTCACATAACTCAGTCTCCATAACTTACAAGGCTCTCCCTCTTTGTTCTTCTTGAGTGCTGGGGACCAAATCCCGGCCCACTGAACTATGACACACCCTCAGCTGTTTTAGGGCGAGCACTCGCTTACCATTTTGATCTCCCAGTTGACATTCCACTGCTTCATGTTGCTGAACCGCCATGTTTTGATGGCGTCTCCCGTGCTGGCGTCCATCCGAATCAACCTGTTGTATGCAATCCCAATAAGTTCTTCTCTCTTGCCGCCTTGAAATCT